CAAAACCCTTTATTTTGCACTTCAGCGTATGGTCACCGACTTACGACCAGGCAGAGAGAGCAACTCATAGTTCCATCCATAATGGAAAGTTTCTCTGGTCATGATGCCACGAAGTAGCCCTAGACGATGGCACTACCACAAAATATGACTCCCGACCTTTTTTTCCGTAAACTTTTAGTTTAATGTCCGATGTAACGAGGCGCACATTTTTCATTCTTGTTGAAAGTCAATGGAAAATCTTCCTTAAAATCTTTTGGATTATCAGGACGCGTCAGGACAAAAAGTCACATCGGCGTTCTGTCCTTCCTTTGCTCAGCCTCTCACGTCCGTCGTCGACGCCGTTTTAGCCCAGCCCCTTTTTTCTCATCGAGTCGTGGACTTTAGCTGGCAGCGGTAAAAGCCTGTTAAGGTTCTGTAGCTCAGAGCATGATGTGCTGCTTTTTGAGATCTTACATCCAATGAAAAGCTGTTATGCAAGGTCTTCATGTCCTGGTTCTACAGGTTTGACAGTAATTGGGCTTTGGTGAGCTCAAACATTTAAGGGTGACCAAAAAAAAAAAAAAAAAAGATTGCAAATGATCTTTTTGATAGCACTGTAATTACAGGTGAAAGTGTGAGGATTTTTCTATTGTTTTTACTTGATGTTAACTACAGTAGTGTACCCTGTTCCTCATGAATATAAAAGAGAATTGATCAGCGCACTCATCCAGGTGTGAAGCTGAACCCTTCAGACTGATGGGACGAGATGCTCGTCTGAAAGTGCTTCAAATGAACTGGAACCGATGCGATAGCATAAGCTTGTCTATTATCTAGTCTGGCAATAAACCAGAGGACGGAGGTTAAAAGATTAAACCGCCGTGGGACACAATCGATGGTGTGTGTATACCTTCAAACTCTCAACGCAGATCCACAACACCACGACGTTTAAACAGCCGAGTCTTTTCCCGACTTCACCTCTCTATTTGTTTCAGAAAACCTTCTGCTCTCAATCTGCACCCGTGGTACATCCGTCAAAAATCCTTGCCACTTATTAAAGCCGGTTTTACTCCAGCATGTCAGGCAAGCTGCTGTAGCCTTTGGTAACCACTTTATTTTTCATTCTTCCTTGGATCTTTGTGTTGATTTTTTCCTCAGCATCTGGTCTCTCCGCCGCAGGTTCGCCAACCCCGCTCTGCTTTGATCATCCTTGGTGAGTTCGCCCTCAGCCTCCTACCGGTTGTCGCCTTGCCAAATCTCCAGCTCCACAGGCTCATTTCAGGGTCTTGAGTTTCGCTTCCGTACTCCAGCATCTTTAAACATCCAAGCACGTTTTTAGAATGAACACAAGGCTCTAAAAAAAAAAAAAACACGCTCACGAGATTGCATCTCTTTAACATTTTTGATAATTGCTCGCCACCAAAGGGTGGGATAGTTTTTACCCTGAACAAAGGACAATGGATACGGACAATCGCACTTCGTCTCCAAAATAAATCGATTTGGAGGGGGTTAAAAAAAAAAAAAAAAAAAAAAAACATTTTCTACAATTCCAGGATAAGATCTGTCTGTAAATTTGTTCTTATCAACTGACTTGATAACGTGCGAGTCGGAGACAAAAACAGGACGACACGAGTCGGAGAAGTGGCCGGAAGAAAATGATGTGGACTAAATTACTGGTTTTAAAATAAATATTTTTAAAGAGAGTCACAAAAGGCAAAAGACTTTGTCCTCTGATCAGCCACTTCGTGGCCAATTGGCCATCTGGAAAGAGACGCACACAGCCTGGTTCAAGGACCAGCAGATGAAAAAATGATTGTCTTACAAAGGCCATTGTTCAGATCAATGCAGAATGCAATTTCTTTGGTCATATCGTTTTTAAATTATATTTGTCTTGGAGTTTTCTTTGCCATATTTGCCGATTGTGCAGCGTGATTGTGTCTGTTTTTGTGTTTTTGGTCAAGTTTTTTCATCTTAGCCAAGAGTTTGTGCAAATAATTCGGAGCTACATTTCCACAGAAAAACACAAACAGACGAAAGACTGAACCACAAACGGTCCTGTGCTGCATGCCTTGCATCACCGCTTAATGGGAACTTTCAGGTGGATGCTCGGCTTCCTTCTTAGTACTTTTTTTTTTCTTGCAAGTTTTTAGGCTTTTAGGCATGATAATGAATGCCATCTTTCAGAAATACAACCCCAAACACAATTTAAATGGAAAACTGTATTTATAAAAAGCATAAAATATATCCTCTGTCCTGTCAAGTTGATTCTAAAAAAGATGTGGCTCTGAGGAAGAAACTCTTGAGAACAAACATGTCTCTAGATGGGTTTGTATTCCCATTATATATTTCTTGACATGTTTTGGAAAATTACAGGTTTTTTTGTGTTTTTCACTTTCCTTTTTTCTTTTTTTATGCTTTACAGTTTTTGAATGATGCAAACTGAGCATTACTAATATATTAATAAAAGCTTCTTGTTGGACGAAGGCAAATTAAATAATAGAAAAGTCAAAGAAAGTGTAAGACATTCAGGTAAAAGACAATTTCAATGATCAGACATTCAGGTATATTTTCCATTTCTTACAAAGAGTCTTATTATATTCATCAGTTTAAGTCTTAATTAAAAGGTCAGTTTCTCCATTGTGTGAATTATTTGATTTTTGTTTTTCTTCCACATCTGGCCACTAGCGAGTTCTGGCTTGCTTTGCCTCCACTAGTAATATTAATAGAAGATACCTGATTTTTCAGGCCTTGATGTAAACTACGCAAAAAAAAATTTAATAAAAAACTACAATGAAATTATAGATAAAGTTTGGGTCTATCAAGGAAATCATAGTTAAAATTGATCTGAAAGGAGCAGAAAATTTGGAAGGTATCATTCCCGCCTTCATCACCAGTAAAGACCGGCCACGTTCTAGAGCAGAACCACCAGAATAGCACCTTCAGAGGCTTTTGGCATGCATTTAGAGTAAATGCTAAGAATTTAGCAACAGAAAAATAGACTTTGGGCTTCCAGAGAAACTGAGCTTGGTGTATTCCGCTGCAAGTTGCATGAGTGCTGAAAAGCGTCCCGGATTCTCGGGGGTTCTCCCTTGCAGAGAGCCTGGAGTGGCTCTTTAATGGAAGCCCCAAAGAAATGAGAGAATGAAAGGCAGATGCCGCCTCTGTCTGAAGACTCACCTCGTTCTAATTGCCTCGACTCCTATCGATTACCTGAGGCCTCGCGCCTTTTCCGTGAGACCCCTTCACACCTTGTGTAATCCCCGCTCAGCGCTTACACACCCGCTTTAGCCCGCATTGATCAAAGTCCGCTTAGGGACGGCCATCTTTGACGCGAGTCAGGTCATCTTTCAAATGTGACAACTTTTCACGGCAGAAAAATAGTGGAAAAACTGCTGGATTTGCAAGTGACCCAAGCAATTGACAATCTGCCTCTCGACTTAAAGAGACAGTCCCTCAAACTGCTGTGTTCAACCAAAGCCTTCCCTTCACACACACACACACACACCCACACACACACACACACACACATACACACACACACACACACACACACACACACTGACACTCGGCATGCAGCGCTGAACCTGAGCTTCCATCACTCGCCTCCTGACAGGCCCGGGGTGTGTTTAAGGAGCAGCTTGATCCCCAGCACCTCTTCCCAGACATCCCACTGTCACAACACACACGCTTCCCGCCAATCACCCTCTTCCCTCTGTGTCAGGGTCCGTCCCCGAAGGGAATTAGGCTGACTTCATTCCCATGCAATTAAACGATCTTGCACAGTTTGGTCTACGGCCTTCCGGTGTGTGTGCGTGTGCGTGTGTGTTTGCGTAAAGAAGATGCAATGGGAGATTCCTGGCAGACACTCAGAGTGGAGACTTGGAGCAAAAAAGTGGGGCGGAGGGGGCGTGTGGAGGGGTGGGAGTAACCGGATCTAATCTCTCTGAATCTCCTCATCGATTGGAGGAACTCTGGACTTGCGCGATAACGTTTGACTGTTGGAGCGGCCGCCACAGTTGGCAGTCCGGCCGCATCCCAGCTTAAGTCGACTACTGTTCCTTTTGGCTCCGGCTGCAGCTTATCTGCTGCCTGCTTGTTTAAATTCACCAGGGAACTGCAGCTGCCCATGAACTGAACGAGTTATTTTGATAGGGTATGTGTGTGTGTGTGGGGGGGGGGGGCAAAAGGCATCGCAGTGAGAGAAAGAGAGAGAGTAAAGATTTGAAAATTTGGAGTTTAATATCAAGTGAAATGCTGATGTGCAGAAGCAGCATGAGAGGTGACCTTTGCATTTCAGCAAACTTTGAAAAAATAAACCCCCCTTGACCTCCTCCCAACTGAAAAAAAGAGTTACTCCAGTATTTTAAAAATAACTTCTAACAAACACAAAATCCCCAATGGATAACAATAGTGTGCCTCAAATTAAGTTTCTTGTATTTTTTTGTTGTTGTAAAACATCCCTAATAGAGCAACAGGTCTGTTCATTCATTCACCATAACTGTCACTGTGTGGGAGCCATTAACCACAGGTTCATGTCTCAGTTCAACTCCAGAAATTACTATTGTGCTTCATACCCTTTGCCATGAATCTGGTTTATACTGAACAGAGCACTTTTATAAAGGGTGTGCAGATGCAGACGATGTTTGAAGAAGGGAACCAGAACCATGGTTAAAATCTCTAGCTATGTATTCAACAATTGTCTGGAGTTTTTTTCCCCCACTAGGGGGCTGTTATGGGGGCTTTATTGTCCCTTATATGACGGTAGGCTGGCAGGAAGGGGGTAAGAGGAGGGATAGTGGTGATAGTTTTGTCGTCTGCGATGTTACATGCCATCTGGAGACGTTGAGAAAGAAATGCAATTCCATTGAACTCAGGCAGTGGAAATGGGTAAATGTTGTCTGTGTCAGAACCCACTAAGCACTTTTGTTTGAATGAGAGCAAACTGTCTTTGCCAAACTAAGCTGTTTTGTAGTTCAACCTTTTCTAACTCAACTCTCATTTTTGAGACAAATGAAATCTGCTACCTTCTTCTTGTTGGTTGGACAGATGTAGAAACTGGTCACCACGATGGTTGTCCCCGGGATCAGGTTGAGTTTGGTGTAGGTCGTCCCGTAATCAGTGGACCTGAAAGACAAGCGACATAATAAGAAGCGGGCAGTGAGTTAATTTGGTGAGAAGTTTCCATTCCGTCACAGACATTTTAGGCCTTTTAATGGCGTTTCTTTCCGTATTTGCTTGAATTCGTTTCAGCTGGTTTGTTTCAAAGCTGGTTTGTTTCTTGTTTTATCTTTTTTTTTTTTTTTTTTGTAAAAATAATGTCGCGATTTTAGGAAAGGTTGTCACGGTGTCCTCATTCTACCAGATTTTATAAGCTGATCTGACCTGTTTTGTACTTGGAGTCACCAGTTTAAGGTAAAGTTATCAATGAAGCCATTGATCTCTTGCAGTCCACCCCTAACAAACAGTAAGAGCCTGACGCCGCCACCACCGTGCTTGACAGCAATTAGATATGCTTAGAAGCTCACATTTCAAGCAAGTCGTCGTGGCCAAATAATACAATAATCGTCTCCAATGTCCAAAGAAGTATTTGAGTTTTCCCTTTGGAAAGGTAGGTATTAGTCGGATTGTTGAAGCAGCATTTTGTTTCTTCGTCAGGACTCTAGTTGCAGGCAAACGTTCATGAAGTTTCAAGGACTCTAAACATTGACACTGGTGTTTTCATTTTACCGGAAGCTGGAGATTTGACTGACCGTCCTAACCCTTTACGTTTCATCTGAGGGGCGGATTTGCATCGTCACAAAGTAGTAATGCTTGAATAACAAACTTGTATCAAAGTACGGTTGTTTGAACTGTGGTAGGTAAAAGGCATTGCCGACTTGTGTGAACTCCCTGAAGGTTCCAGGACTCTCCGGTTGTTGTAGAAATGTTTTATTGCAAGCAAATGAATCTCGTTCTTGTCAAGCTTTGAGACGTTTCTAAACCTGCCAGTTCTTGTAAAATAGCTTCAGTTCTATGCATAATCCTTTAGAACAGAGCAGCTCGAGTAAATTAGAAAAAATTTCTAAATTAATGTGACATTCTTGTCCATAATGAGACTGTATCTGAGCTTTTCCAATGTCCTTGTTAATTACATGACATCACAAGGTTTATGCAAATAGTTGTATTTTAGTTTGACTGGATTTATAATGAGGATTGGGACCCTTTCATTGTTCCACTGGCCTCCAAACAGTTCTATCAAGCAGCTGTGCCTCGACTAAAGTCCTTCAGATTGACGGATCGGCAGCAGGCCGGTGAAAGACTTGACCTACTTGTTCTCTCAAACTGCCCTGGAGGCCAACCCCACATCAGCTCCCCATTCACCACATTACTGGTTTATGTTCTGCAGGCTGATCACGGCGACAAATCAGGAACGCCTGGTCAAACTGTGATTGCCCGAGTGACGCATAAACGGCCCCTGGCTGGCTATAAGGTACTGACCGATCCTCAAATCTGGCAGCTTTGGAAGCAGTTGTGGAGTGTTGTGTGCATGTGAGATTGATGGCCAGCCGCTGTAATGATTCTGAAGTCGGACTCCTGTGCACCCAACAAAAAGGGAAACAAATGTTTAAGCAGGTTTTTCCGGCCCAGAAAACATGAGGCGATCAGGTGTTGCTGTAAACTGCTCTGAAAAACAGACATCTTGTCTTTTTTGCTTTTAGGTATCAAACACCACGTTTTAATTTAAAAGATGACATGAGAAAACACACTTTTTTTTAAATCAAGGTGACATTTTTTAAGGGGAAAATGGCCTTGTGAGAACAAAAGTCACTGCGCCAATGAAGTCGATGACGGCTTGTACCATCTTTGGCGAAAGCAACTCCCATCCAGCTTTTTTGATGACTGGTATTGAATTATAGAATGTCAAATAAAAATACGCCACATTATTTCAATCGGAATTAAATCCGAACTTTGACTGTGCCACTTCAAAAGTCCCTTTTCAGTCACTCATTACTGGCCTTGCTGTGTAACCGAAGTGGCTTAAGGACCCGAACTGATGAAAGGACATTCACCGTCAGAATTTTCTGGTGCAAAGTGGAATTTAAACATCCAAAGTCATCATACTACCACCACCGTGCTGAAAAGTTGTGTATAAAAAGAACAACTTGACGATGCATCTCACTGGAAGGTGAGATATAAAACTAGCACATTTTTGAAAATGTGAGACAAAAGCTGTTGTTTAATGGTTTTAACAACGTTGGATTTTGACTCAGTTTCTTCCTTACAGTAGAGTGATGTTGTTCCACCTTCTTTTGAGACCTCCTGGTTGTATATGTGCTCCTGGAGTCATTTTAGCAGATTATCCCTTTATAAGACGCCTCTACAATATTCCGTGATTTGACCTTTTGTATATAATAAGCTGCTGACGCGTTCCTGTGGCGTCCCAAGGCTTTAAAAGGGGATGACAGACATTAATGACATTTCTTTCTTATCCGCTCTGGACAATGTGATGCCTTCTGAGAGCTTTTGAGTCAAGTCAAGAGTTTACTAAAGTCCCATGACCGATGTGTGGAAGAGATTTGAGGCGGAGGAGACTGCTGCTGATCCGTGGTGTTGGAACGGTGTGCTCCTGCTTTACAGAGGGCTCCGTTCCTGTCAGACGATGCGGAGGAGCGGGGCCCTGTGTTTGGCCTCCAGCTTGTCCTTCTGCGATCTATTCTGGGATGGTGAGCTCATTGTTTACGTTGTCTTACTTTGGAGATTGGAAGCTTTTCAGACTTGCAGCACAAAAATGCATTCGATAGCTTTGTTCACATCGAATATTATCCATGTGGTGGTAGAATCCGTTCAGTCTCACCTGCTACAGGTTCTAATGGTGTTCACCGGTGAAACTGAAGTGAACTCCAATAGATGTGATTAATCCCAGTTGTTCATAATTCATAAAGTGGTGATCACGTTCTGAGTCAGAGCCCGTTTGTTTTGGGTTGCTGTTTTCGCTCGATAAATGAAATCATTGTTTGAAAACTGCAACCTTTTTAATCAAATGATCTTTGCCTACAACATATGTTTGATTACTTGAAGACGAAAGAATTCTATATTACACATTGGGTTTGATGAAGCGAACAGCTTTTGAAAACATTCACTTCCTCTAATAAAGCAAACAAGAAAACGAGTGATTACAGCTGGTTAAGGCCTGCATGTCGCCAGAGAGCAACACAGATAGGAATCAATAAATACAAATGTGTTTCTTGTGCAGCAGTTTTGACAGCTTTAAAGGACTGATTTCAAAAGCACTCGAGGGAACGCAGGAAGGGAAAAGCTGCAATGTTTATCTTTGGGTCAAGGGTCAGGCAGGAGGGGGGCCTCAGACGGAGAGGTCTTGATGAAAGAGAACGAGGAGCTGGCACATCGGCCTGGTTAAGGATGAGAGGATTTTCTCCTTTACACAGTAGGACGCCGACCGCTGACAGACACTCGCGCGCACACACACGCCGAGACACAAACACACTCGAAGCCCTGTTGAGCCGCTCTGCAATCAGCTCTCCCAGAGAGCTCCGGTGCGGCGGCAGAAAACAGTTGCTTAGCAGGGGAAGAGCCGCTTCTCTGCGGTGAGCTGCTGAGTGTTTTCATCTGCCCAGTGTGTGTGCGCGTGTGTGTGTGTGGTGTTTAACCTGAGATCACTCGGAGGACGCGGACAGGATCACTGAATGATGGCTGTGTTAGCAGAGAGGAGCAGAGCTTTGTGCTTATCTCTGGAAACCCACTTGTGGACGGAGTGAAAGAGCTCCGGTGTGAGTGCAGAGAGGTCTGCTCAGGTGCAAGATAGTTTTAGTGGAAAGTGTGTGAGATCCTGACTGGGCTGGCAGATTTAGTACCGATGAGCTGGGAGGATTGGAGTGAAGGGCCAAAATAATCATGAACAGAACTACGTCGTCTATTCGGTGCCGTATAAAACTATCCAGATCCTATGAATATTTTCCTCGCATAACTGTGCATTACTTTCACGCATTTAATTTGGAGTTTTACGATAGATCAAAACAAAAGTAGTTCACAATATTAAACATGAATATTTTTTTTTGTTTGTTTTTTTTTTTGTAATAAACAAAAATCTAAAAAGTGTGGCATGCATTTGTCCGGTGGTGAACACGCGTCTGCCAAATTGCTAATACGCTACCAGTGAAGCCAATTATTCATTTTGCGCTTTAGCTAACTTTGACAATATTTAGTGCACTTAGTTTCCTCTAAAGTCAGATTGCAAGGTAAACTCTAAAGTGCTAATTTGCTTTGCTGTTTTGTTAAATATTTGTTGAATAAACGTTGACATCTTTGTTAAGGGTTTGGTTATAGTTTTAAGGATTCCTCGTGCTCTTATTTTGAAGTGGTTGAACACGCTTCCTCTGCTCATGTTCTCCAACTGTGAGGCGGTGCGGCGGATAACATTTTTCTGTACCCAGAATGCATTGCTGTAGCATTACAGCCTGTCATTTTAACTACTGATGTCTTGTGTGTGTTTTCTGACTGAAGCCCAATAACAGATTGAAAGTTGTGCTTATAATATGACAAAAATTTGAAAATATTCAAGGCTTGTGAATGTTTTGTATGTTTTTGTCTCTATTTTCCTGTTCATTTCCAGCTTGAGTTACTGATAGGTGTGATTCTTATGCATAATTTAGATCACAATATAGGCTGAATGTTAGACATTTACAACATAAAAAGTCCAAAGATTGTTTATTTGAAGGGTATAATAGTGTAGAAATATGAACAAGTGTGAAAGCTTCTCTCAAATGGGATTTGATATTCTGGATTTGTTGCTACTACTGACCCCATTACATTAGCTGCCCTCTTGTCTTTCATTGTTAAAATTGAAATATTGATTAAAAGAAGCCTTCTAAGCCTCCTGGGAGTTGTCAGCCAATATATATTACCCAACACTTTTACTTTAGAGCCTTCCAGAAGGACCACGGGAGCCCCTAAAAGCCGTATTAAAATGCATTCATCCACAAAAACCAGTCTAGAGTGGAGCAGCTGCCTTTTGGGCCAATGATTCTGTTTTAGAGTGCATGGCATTCATCATGAAGCATTTGAAATAACCAGTCAAAATCTTGTGGGTAATACCAGAAAAGGGGAAATGAGTTGTAATTGGGTCT